CCCCCTTGCTGTCCTCCCCAGCCCCCTGCCACTAGCAGCACCCACTGTACTAACAGCACTGCTCCTCAGGGCTCCCTGCCCCGCTGGCACCCAGACCTTCCCTACCTCAGCCCTGGCTTTCGGGGCACCCTCCCTGCCAGTCCCATCAGGGACCACAGCCCATCTTCCCTACAGACCTGCCTTAACTCTACACCCATTACACCACAGCCACCTCCTTCCTTCCCCACTCGTGCCCTTGCCACGGGGCTGCCCGTCTTTGCCGCTCGCCCACCACTGCAGGAGGTTCAGACCCTGCAGTGCCATCAGTCTCAGAGCTGCCAGGACACTCCTGGCCCAGCCCTGGGATTCACCTCCTGAGACCTTGGTGTTGCCTGGCCATCGGCAAAGGGCTCTGACCTGAACCCCCAGCAGCCTCCTGCTGCCTTTGTGAAGCCCAAACCAAAGGATGCTGCAGACCCGCGCTGTAACCCGGCTCTGCAATAAAACCCTGTCCCCACTGATGCCCCCGGTCTGGTTGTGTTCAGTGGGACTGAGCAGTGAGACAGGGAGAGCCCCTTGGACCGCTCGCTCAGGCTGGCAGTGGGAGGCCTGGCTGGCTGTGCCACCCCAGAGCAGCCGTGCTGTGGGCTCGGCCTTGGCTGCGGATGGTTTTGGCAGCTCCTGGCTGGCCCCGAGTTGCCTGAGCAACCACAGACACACAAACATGAGCGCCTGGCTCCCGCTCCTGCTCTGTTTGCAACCAAACACATGAGCTCCTGGTAACGATCCCTGGGAACAGGCTGGGCTCCAGGGTGGGACGGCAGCTCCAGGATGGGATCGCCACTCCGGCGGGTGTTCGGGTGCACGAGGCTGATCCCAGGCACAGGCAGAGCCTGTTGCAGCGTTGCCTGGGTGGCAGTGCCAAGCTTTCCAGCTCGATATCTGCCTCCATGGTCATCTCTTTGGAGCTGGGCTCCCAAAATAACCCACAGGGGTTATTTTGCAGGTGCCTCAGCTGTGGCACTGGCACTGCCCACCCCACGAGGGATGTGCTGGGGGTGCTCCTGGTGCTTGGGCAGGCTTGCTCCCTGCCCATGTACAGCACTGCACCTTCTGCATCCTAGCCACCTGCTTTTTAAAACACAGGAGAAGGAAGAGGTTGTCTTCTAGGTTGGTTTCAGCCTCACCCTCAGTGAGGGGTCTACCAATAAGTGTCTACCAGTGGCAGGTTGGGGGTGACGGCTAGAGGGATATTAGACCTCCTTTAAGCAGGTCAGAGGGAGTTCATGGCTGTCTGTGCCCCTGAATGCTCTTTCTGAGATCCAGTGTTCCTCCTTCCAAAAGGTGTTGCTGGGGACCCCAGCTGCAAAAATGAGATGCAAAATTTGCAGGGCAAGGCTATCCTGCATTGCCTTGCGGTCTGTGGAGGTGCCATCCATGGCCCCATCCTTGTGCAGACTTGGAGGTTTTATGAAGGGAGAACATTCTGTGAAGAGGTGAGCAGGACAGGTCTTGTGGGACTCATCGCCTGCCTGCATGTGGCTCTGGTCAGGGCCTGGTGGTGGAGCAAGGGGGGGGTACCTGTGTTGGGGCAGCTCTGAAGGGAAGCTCTCATGCTTTTGATACTGGGAAACCAAGACTGGAAGGTGATTTCTGCCTGGTTTTAAGCTTGCATGTGACAAGAGCAGCAGCTCTGGCATCCCCATGTCCAGCAGCAGAGCACAGTGTTCAGGAGCAGCAGTTGTTCCTCCCCCAGCTGCTCACCCCACCTCTGCCTCTGCGGCTGGGGACTTCAGCAGCTCAGCTGTCCACGTAGCAGCTGCTGAACGCCCACTGCCTGAGAGTCTGTAAGGAGGGTGGATGGCTCCTCTCTTGGCGTCACCTCTGTAAATTCATCTAGAAGCAGGGGGAGCTGAGCTGCCACTGCTCAGGCAAGGCAACGCAGCAGCCAGCGCAGGGACTGCGGCACCTCCCCTGGAGAACCAGCCTGGCCGAGCCGCACAGGGAACCCTGAACAGAAGCAGCTTCTTTGCAGCCTGTGAAGCCATGGCAGAGGTCATGCAGTGGCTAGCAGTTCCCATGCACTGCCAAACCACCCAGCCTAAAAGTGCTTCTTATCTGCTCCAGCCCCTTTTCATGTTCTCCACTGCTTACTCCACAGCTTACACAGGACTTTCCCCCTCTGATCATCCTTGTTCCCAAGGAGGCAACTACAGCACATCCCGTTCTCTGCATGTGGACAGGGCTGGGTGGTGAGGCTAGCAATGGCCAGACCACTCTGGCCAGGCTGGTTGGCACCCCCTAGTCTGTTATCTTGGTCCTGTCAAATCAGACACAGAAGAATTAGAGTCAGTAAAGACCCAACAGGGCCTAATGGCTGCAAAGTGCCTAACAACAACCAGAAAAGAAGTCACTTCCCCTGAAGTGATAGGAGCAGCTTCCTGGGAACTACAAGATGTTGATCTGGGTCTTCACCAGAAGTGGAAATATTTCTAAATACCAGTGTAGTGATTTCCTGGGGAGCTGCTGGCTGTGTATATGTGTACAAGGCTGGCCCTGTTCATCCTCCTAGGAGGGTGTGAAAATCCTTTTAGAAAAAGCACCCAAAGCACTGTGGCTGCGATCTGCATTACAGATACATCACACAGCCCCTGTGCGTGATCAGAGACAGGTGGAGACTTGGCCTCGCTGGGAAGTAAGTGCCAAGAATACAGCCCTTAAACATCAGTCTTCATGACAAATATGGACAGTGGAAATGAAACAGCTGGCACTGGAGCACAGGACTGACGAGGAGGAGAGGCCATGTTGGGGTGCTCAGCCCTCGAGAAGACCATAACCTGAAGGAACTTACACAGGACCAGCAGGTCCGGCTGTTTTCCCAGTGAAGTTTGAAGTGGTGCCCCAGGCTGCTGAGACAGCAGAGACCTTAAACTATTAATTGCAGAACAACTTTCTGTGATGAAAAGTGACACAGCCCAAACAAAAGGGCTTGCAACCATTTCCCCTGTGCTAATGAATTTGCTGTGGCCAAGCATTTGCTTGAGGTTGGCTCCACACCAGCTCAAGAAAGACATTTTTGCAGCCAGGGTGTGATTCGCTCGCAGTGGAGAAGCCAGCAGGCGGAAGGTATCTCAGCCAGTATTTATGTTGTTTGCATTGATCCAAGCCCCAGACATGAAGCTTTTTTCTCCTTCCCATTTGTTTCTTCCTCTTGGCCGCTCTCCGGCCCCACTCTTGCAGCGGAGGGGCATGCCAGAGCTCGTCCCCAACCCTGCCACCACAAACACTCACCTGCTCCAGCGTTTTGGGCAAACCCAGACTCTCTAACAGGTTGATGTCTCAGCTCACCAGTGAGCCATGCAGCCCAGAAGGCTCAGCTGAGTGGTTATGATGAATTTAGCTGTAAAATGTGTTATCTGCCCCCAGGGTAATTTCTCTAGAGAGTTTCCAAAATCATCTTTGATTTTTCACACACTTTGACAGCAAGTTGTGTGCCTGGGATGAGGGATCTGACTCCTCTGAGAGGTCATTTTTCTCTGGGATGAGTGGTTTGACCCGATACTGATAAGGACTGATCACTGTTCCTCGGGGACATAAATTCATTCCTAGAAAAGCAAGACAGTGGATGACAATAAGCCCAGCAAGGTCTTACCCTTTCTGTCCCTGTGTAGGAGCACCAGGAAGAGCTCACAGATGTTGCTGTTCCAAAAAACTGCTCCCCGCCATGAGCATCCTTCCATGGTTGTGCAGGTTCTTGATTTCAGGCCAGGGAAAACAGCTTCTCCACTGAGCTGTACCTGTGCTGCCTTCCTCAGTACTTTTCCATTTCACTGCTAGTCCGACGGACAACCATTTCCAAAATACACAGACGAGACTGTAAATCATGTTCAGACAAGATTCAGAGATCAGCTTGTATCCTGGTGCGTCAGGCACTTTTTCAGACATATAAATCTAAACCTGGGACTAGAATTTCAAATCCTTGCAGTCAGTGCCCTGAGATATTGGTTTGACCATGAATGCAATACTTCATTTCCAGCTATGTGTTGCCAGCACTATGCTGGAATATTGATTAGGTACCATTTTAGAGGGAATTCAATTAACTAAATTAACTAAATTACTGTCTTCCCAGCATGGCATGGGAATCAAATAAAATGTTATTATACAGGAGTCATCCCCACTTTTTGTTAATATAACAACTGTGACAGAAGCATAAGAACATGGGAAGATAGATGCAGGAAGATGCAGAGAAACATTAAAAAAAAAAAAAAAAGCATGGATTAGATTCACCAGCTTTAAATGCAGCATGAGATTTCATACAAGATAGAACTGAACGCAATCCCTATTTAATGTCTATTTTCTTCCCTGTACAGAGGACAATTGCATAATAATTGCTCTGAACTGCAGTACTGAGCAGAGCCATGTGCTGATGGTCCTGATGCAGTTCTTCCTAATGGGGATGATATCTCATGACTGGTGCAAGTCTCAGCTAGAAGAAGTTTTGTGAACGGCGTGGCTGCTCTCTTTAGCCAACTGCTGCAGCAGGGTAGTTTGTGGACACCAAAGACCCGGGCAAGATTGTTGAAGAGAAAAAAAACCAAAACAACCTATGAGCATGCATTCAGGACAGTGAACCTGCTGTAAATTTTTTCCAGAACTGATATGCCGATTTCCATTCATTCAAAATCACATTTTAAAACATTTGTACTTAGAGCTCTAAGTTTGTAGCTTTGGGCTCTGTATTTCAAGATGACTACAACTACAGCTATGATTAATTTCAACATTTCATGCATAGCTGGCTTACAATGGTTAATAACTGATAGAAACCATTCAAAGGGATTGGTAGCACGTGCTAAGACAGCTGTAAGCACATCAGTGGGGTGCTATGGTTGCCAAAGACAAGTCTCCTTTTGACCTGAGATACGTTTTCTAAAAAAAGCAGTTTAATCACATGCAGAATATTCCTG